GTCATTTCACTGATATGGAAAAAGACTAAGTAAGCATGGTCAAGTCATTTCTCCCAAAGTCACATAGCTAGTTAGTGGCATATGTAAATTCAACCCCTGATTTATCTGGTTTTCAAGGACACACTTTTATCAATAAGATATATGGACTTTAGGGGAAGCCCAGTTGTGGAGGCCGGCGAGGAGACTAGCTGGGGAACAAGGGTAGGATGGATGTTATAGAGTGAGAAAGCCTGAATGCCTCAAACTCACCCCATTCAAATTCTAGTTCCAATATGTTCCACCTTTGCTATTAAGGTACCTTAAATATTAATGCAGTTTCTACATCTGAAAAAAGTGAATATTATTGCAAGAGTTACACAAAATAGCAAACATGAGCTCCTAGGTCAGAGGAGAAACATGTTTTGGTTCTTTTTCCATCTCCCATTTCTCAGGATCACACATTAGCAAACCACTATGACATTTTTAGCAACTTAGTATATCTATCATCTATCTGTCTATCATCTATCTATCATCTATCTGTCTATCATCTATCTATAGTTGGAAAATCAATGTATACATTGTTGACCATATGTTTTTATTAAAGTTATATTTGGTCTGTTTCTTATCTTCTTTTCATAGTTATCTCAATACTTAATATCTTAATAAAATAATAGTCCAAACTTGCATAAGTCATCTGATTGCACAATATATTTATTGCCAAAAGTAATGTAGTGGTAATGGAGGCAATATAACAAAAGACATTTTTAATTCATCAAAGCAAAAGTTGTTATAAAAAAGCAAAAACTAAACACTAATCATATTAATTTCACTGCACATGAATTAGCATGACTGATCCACAACATTAGATATATTATAAGTTAACACATAAACTTATGCTTTAATAATGAATAATCATAGATACTGAAGTTAATAAAGTAAAAACAAATATATTGTTCACACTCTAATTTATAGTGAAATTTTATATTGTAAATTATAAAATATACTTATTATAATGTGAATGTTAATAACATTATCTCCATCAATCCATTTTCAGCGTCCATCTGTCAGGTGACTGAAATTTGGCTGGAAAGCTCAACAATATATTCGTCAAACAGGAGTTACTTTTTACATGATTAATATATTTATATTAAAAATAGACTTAATGATATAAAGAAGTATCAGCTTGAGATAAAGGAAACTGTTTTCTTGTCCCATCCTTTCTAAAGTAACTGTGTGCTCCTAAATAAGTCACCTACTCTCTCCAGATCTCACTTTATTCACCTTTCTGTTAAAGTAGAGGACCAGTGTACAAAAATTCATGCCCTGGGTGGGTGTTTCCTCAGCCTGGCCTGCCCCCTCTCACAGTCCGGGAGCCCTCAGAGGATGTCCTACTGATGGCTTAGGCCCGCTTCCCTTGGGGAGCAGGCCTAAGCCGCAGTCTGGCCTCCCTCTGCAGGAGAAAACCAGGCTGATTCAGGGAAGGCGCTGCCCTCATCACCCTACTGCTGCTGCTTCTACTGGCCCCAGTGGCTGTGAGGCCTAAGCCCCAGGCTTCGCAGCCACCGGAGATCATGGCTACCGTGAGCCCCTGGCCTCGCAGCCACTGTGGCTTTGTTCAGATGGATGCCCTGATGGACATCTGAAAGCTGTCCACCCTATTTAGCATATAGCCCTTTTATTAGTATAGATTTACTAGACTGCATTTTATGCAATACACATAGCAAACACCACACTTATTTTGAAAGGCTATATGGTTACCCAATTGATACTTTTTTTTGGTTAATCCTCACTAGAGGATATTTTTTCCATTTAGTTTTTTAGAGATAGTGGATGGAAGGGGGAGAGACAAAGAAAGAGACATCAATGTGGGAGAGGCACATTAATTGGTTGCTTCCTGCACACACATGACTGGGGCCAGGGATCAAACCTGCAAATGAATGGAACCCACAACCTTTCAGTCTCTGGGCCATCACTCTAACCACTAAACCAAATTGGCCAAATTGATACATTTTGAAATAAATATCAATATAATTTCACTGCACAATAAAGAAGTACTCCAGCATATAAGAATGCAAAAATACAAAAATGCTATAACAATCAAATTATTTCAAAGATTGAAATTGACAAAATAATTATCCAAACTTGCATAAGTCATCTGATTGCAAAATATGTGTTCAGTCTTTATTGCTATTTTAATAAAATACATTTAACAAATCCTTTAAGATACTTTCTGCTTTTAAAAATCCATATAAGATAAATAAGCTGGTGAGCTTTGTGAACAAGAGTAACACAGAGATAGAATGTCTCTCTGAACTGAAAAGAAGTAGCAGATGTCTTGAATTCATGAATTACTGTCCACAGTGCACCCTACGCTGTGACAGTGACATGTAAGCTGTAATTGAGATGTGATCTTTAAGAGGAAAATGTATGGAATCCAGAATGTATTTTGGTTAGCCAGGTCAAATGGAGGGGAGTTGCTTATCATGCCTAAAGCAGGCAAGTAGGAATACCACTTCTGATTACCAACAAGTGGAGCCTTTGTAATAACTTCAGGGGGGAAAAATAATCTGTTGGAATAAAGTGAACATGGTATATATTTAATCTTTATAAGATAACCTTTTTCCAAATAATTTCTATGGGAAGTAAAACAGTGTAACATTAAGACATATGTTGCTGACATAAGAGTTAATAAAGACATAGACTCCACTAGCGGAATTAATATTCAAGTGGCTATATTGTCTCTGAGGCTCTTGAATATCAAAAAGGAAGAGATGATTTTATTGATCGGGGAAATGGCAGCAGGTTATGCTTATTGTATATAATAAAGACTATTGATTTTGTTAAGCAGAAAAATGGCACTTTAAAAAGCCCATTTCATATCAACTGCAACAGAATGGTACTTTCTACGAGTTTAAAAGTTTTTAGAATCATTTTTAATGGAGCAAAAAGTATAATTTGTCAGGAACATCCTTTATACCAACAGAATAAGAGTTCATTGCTATAATGAAGGTTTTTCTCTAATATCTAAATTGAAATTGCAATCTATTCAACTAAGTTAAAATTATAGGCCATGTTCTCCTTGTAATAAAAGTACTTCATATTAAGAATAATTTCTTCAGCTTATACCCCCTAAGAAGTTTGAGAGGAAAAATATTTCTTCCTAAGAAAATACAGAGGTATTCAAAAGTTGATGATGATACTTGAATTGAAAGCAAATATACATTATTTCAGAAAGTTGTAATTATTTCAGTGAGTAATAAGACCTAAAGTGCTGTAGGCTTACTAGAACTTCCTGCAATCTACCACTGAATCACCATTTATTGATGTTTTATAATATGCTAATGGAGATGACAGAGCTTGCTATCACATTAATAAAGTATCTTCGAAATAAGACTAATAATTTTGTGTAAATCTATGAACATATGAATATAATAGGACAAAATAGTATCACTAGAAGGTAAACATTTTGCTTTTATTTGTGTTTTAGAATTGACAGATTTATTATGAAATAAACTGTTGGTAGACAGGTAAGAATCATAGTTTCACTGAATTCACCCAATATGTGAGCATCTCTGAGGTTGATCTTAAATTCTCTCAGGGCATATAACTAGACTATATTTTTGAGACTCACTGGTGAGGCGTGACCATGTGACTAAGATCGAGACATTGGAATGTGAGAAATGATAGGTGCCAATCCCCTGACTGGCCCACCAGATTTCCTTTTGTGCTTACCCATGCTCTGTTCTCTTTTCAGCTGGCTGCAATGGTGATGGTTAAGGTAAAAGTGCCCGGTGCTGTCTGCAGGTTCAAGCGGCAGCTGCCAGCCCTGATCACCCCTCTGGAGCAGATGGAGGTGGAGAAGCCTTGAGAGGTGATTGGGAGCTGTAGCAGCTTCTCTGCTCTTACCTGCAGCTGGCGCGGAGACTTTGCTTATACCCACTTCTGCTTCCTGGTGCAGGCCCTGATCATGCCTTAAGATTTCTCCACATCCTTCCCTCCCCCGACCCCCCCCCCCCCCACACCGCTCCTGAGGGCCAATCATGGCAGCAGCCACCGCTCACACCCACTGATGATGCCGGCCCCAATTGCTCTGTGCCATCAGAGGGTGCCAGTGGGGCTGGCACCATCAGCGTGTGGGATCAGTGGTGGCTGGTAGCGGGAGTGGAGCTGCCAGCAGACAGGTGATCAGGGGCCGTGGAGGGAAGGGCCAGGCAGAGGTGTGGAGGATGGGTCAAGACCCACGCCTGTGTTCACTGCAGCCTTTCAAGTTGAACAGATTCATGCACTGGGCCCCAATTAGAGACATGTCAGCTAAACATAAACATAAACCAAACAAGGACCAAGCCTTGAGCAGAGATCTGGAGCATACTGAAGAGTTGGTACTTTCCCTAGTCTAAAGCCTCTTGTTATCTAAGCTTCAAGAGGATGAGATGAGACAAAGAAGCAAATAAATAAAATCAACTAAGAACTAGGACAAATAAAAAGCTTTGGGTCTGTTCACAGGTCCTATAATCCTTGAAGCAAGTAAAAAAAAAAAAAAAAAAAAAAAAAAAAAAAAATCATTCCAAATATTAGAGGAATTGTATTTCCTGGCTCTGTCCAGAGAAGCCCTGTGTGAACCCTGCTTCCTGGAGGTGTGGACAACAGAGGTAATGGATGAGATAGACCCTCCTAGTGAGTGGCAGTAGGGGGCAGCAGAGGACAAATTGGTGCAAGACCTTATTCCAGAGGCAGAATCTGGGTATAATAAAGGCAAGAATAAGGGTCCTTGCCTCTCCAATCAGATTCTATTATGGCTGTGGACCACTTATGGTTTTGCCTTTTATTCTTCTCTTTTATCTAAATTGAACATGTGTAGTTTAGCGTGTGTATATATATGCACACTCAAATTATTTACCTGTTCTTCCTTTGTCTGTTGGGAGGGAAGTAGTGGCAGGTACCTTATCTTCTAATTTATACTAGAAGTTTATATAGTTTCATATAAACTAGAAGTTTAAATAGTTTGTACACTTCCTCAGACCATGGGGATTATGGAGATCCTGGACTTTGATCTGTGTGTAGTTACTGGGTAAGTCACTGCATCAATTTCCTCAGAGAACAGGTGACTGCCTTGTCTGCAAAACTGGGCACACGTTACTTTTTTTACCCACACTTATGCTTAGGTATGAACATGCAATTGGTTTCCATCTTAAAGAGTATGAATAGCCGAAACCGGTTTGCCTCAGTGGATAGAGCATCGGTCTGCAGACTGAAAGGTCCCAGGTTCGATTCCAGTCAAGGGCATGCACCTTGGTTGCGGGCATATCCCCGGCAGGGGGTGTGCAGGAGGCAGCTGGTTGATGTTTCTCTCTCATCGATGTTTCTAGCTCTCCATCCCTCTTCCTTCCTCTGTGGAAAATCAGTAAAATATATAAAAACCACCTACATTTTTTTAAAAAAGTATGAATAGAAGTGATTTGTACCTTAACACACACACCCACAGACCCCACAATATAATTTCCTATGGACATTTATCTGTCTGGTAGTTTGAACATTGGTTGGTGACGACTTGGACTTGGAAGTCATAGTCAGAGAGGCAGAGCATCTCTTATCCTGGGTTTTCTGCATCATTTTGTAGAAAAGAGCCACTCTTTGACCTCTATATCTGAGCAGAATACTACATGAGCAAGATAAAATTCTAATGTTTTTAAGCATTTAAGATTTATGGACCAAAATTTTTAGGCATTTAACATCAATCTTTTCCTCCCATTCCTTAGTTCTCCCTCTATTAAAAGATACTATAAAATATAAAAAAAAGAAACAAATTTTTTTAAAAAGGATAACAAGACTCTAAAGTATCTATTGAAGGTTAAAATTTATACTTCAAGTTAGAAAAAAAAATTATAGAATAATGCTGATAGAAGTATTGAAATGTAAATAAATACCAAAAATGTTTATATGTAGACATGCCTGTGATTCAAAATTTGTGTGAAATACTGAAGCTTAGAGGACATATAAGTATAAAAATTATATTTTGGTTTACTTTAGATTATAATATTATAATCTAAAGTAATAGATATTATAATACATGAGGGATTTTGTCCCTCAAATTTTAAATTATTTTTTGTTTGTTTGTTACTCCTAATTTAAGCTGTACTATAATATCTTTGCAGTTTTATGGATACTTCAACTAAGAATTAGATTTATTGTATTCATATAAACTTACAAATATTATTACCTGCTAAAATTCATTTCTTCTTATCAGCCCAGTTTAAATAAATGAGTTCCATGATCATGCCAGTGAGGTGATTTATGTTCTCCTGACCTTCCATGGCAATGTGTAATTTAATATTACTTTATGCTTTCTGCCATATGTTATAGTTACTTTTATAGATCTCTTTATTAATTAATATTATAAAATGCTCTTTGATTGTTTTCACTTTCTTTAGCCCTTGTCCTAGATCTTCAAACCACTATAAGATATTAAAATTGGAAATGTGTAATACCAATATTTGCTACAAAACACATGTATTCCTTTAGTTGTCATTTAGGTTCTCTACTGTTGAATCTTTCAGAATATTATGACAGTACAAACCACAAAAGATAATTGCTCTATAATAATGGCTGCACTACAGCTACCAGCATGGTTTACTTCCTGAGTTTTCCATCTAATCAAAATTTAGTATTCATGGTTTCCATTTCCTAGGTTTGGCAACCACTGGCTTCCTTGGATCTGTTCTGTCTGAATTTCCACTTTGCCAAATGTAATAGGTAGAATGAAAGTACATTTCAATTTCCTAAAGGTTAGAACAATTTATAATCAATACTAGGCCTGGTGCATGAAATTTGTGCAGGGGGGTGTCCCTCAGCCCAACCAGCACCCTCTCCAATCTGGGACCCCTTGAGGAATGTGCAATCAGACATCCCTCTCACAATCTAGGACTGCTGGCTCCCAACTGCTTACCTGCCTGCCTTTTTGATTGCCCTTATCACTTCTGCCTGCCAGACTGATCACCCTCTAACAACTGCCTTGCCAGCCTGATTTATGTCTAACTGTCCCCCTGCCAGCCTATTTGCCCCAACTTCCCTCCTCTGCCAGCCTGGTCACCCCAAACTGCCATCCCCTGCAGGCTTGATTGCCCCAAACTGCCCTCAATTGCAGGCCTGGTCCTTCCCAGCTGCCCACCCCTGTTGGCTATCTTGTGGTGGCCATCTTGTGTGCACATGGGGGCAGGATCTTTGACCACATGGGGGCAGCTATCTTGATCTTATCTGTTGGAATGATGGTCAATCTGCATATTACTCTTTTATTAGATAAGATAGCGGCCTGGTGCATGGGTTGGGGCCTGCTGGTTTGCCCTGAAGGGTGTTCCAGGTCAGGGTGGGGTTTCCCTTGGAGCATGGGGCAGCATGGGCAAGGGGCCTGTGGTGGTTTGCAGGCTGGCCACGCCCCCCCCTCCCCCAGCAATCCAAGTGGAGGCTCTGGTATCTGGGATATATTTATCTTCTACAATTGAAACTTTGTAGCCTGGAGTGGAGGCCTGGGTCAGCCAGGGTGTGTGGAAAGCTTGGCTTCCTCCATTGCTGGGGAAACCCAAGCCTCCCTCCTGCTCTCTGTGGTTGGGGTTAATTTGAATACTTGCTTTGATTGGGTGGTAAGCATGGCAGGTGGGCGTGACTTGTGGGTGTAGTGCAGTGGTGGTTAATTTGCATAATTATCCTTTATTAAGTAGGCTTAGCAATTTAAAATAATATTCGAAAGTTTGGCATTAGGGGTGTGAAAGGATCAAGTAAAAAAAGAGAGGACTCGCTGGGACCGGTTTGGCTCAGTGGATAGAGCGTCGGCCTGCGGACTGAAAGGTCCTGGGTTCGATTCCGGTCAAGGGCATGTACCTTGGTTGCAGGCACATCCCCAGTGGGGGTTGTGCAAGAGGCAGCTGGTTGATGTTTCTCTCTCATCGAAGTTTCTAACTCTCTGTCCCTCTCAGTTCCCCTCTGTGTAAAATCAGTAAAATATATTAAAAAAAAAAAGAGAGGACTCATGGACATGGACAACAATGTGATGATTATGGGGCAGAGGGATTGTGTGGAGGTGATAGAGGGGATAAAAGGTTATGAAAATTTTAAATTAAATTAAAAGATATAAAGAGAAAAATAATGTTCACCATATTCATAAATGATGAGCAAAAATAAATTAATACCTTTATATTCTCTATTTCTAACAAATCTGGTATTAGGTTGGTTTTAGAAATAATAAGTGTAGTGCTCAAAAAGTTACATAGCTTATACAAAACAAAAAACCCATGAGCCTTTCCAGAAAGGAAGCACAGAACGTAAATCTAAGAAACAAAAATACCTTTTGTTTTTTTCTATGAAGATAAACTTAGAGTTAAATAGGATGAGAAATAAAAGAGAAAATTAAAATTTTTGAGGAAAGGGACATATAAAAATGTCTATCAAGTTCTTATGATATTATGGGGTATCACAAACATAATTGATGTTTAAAATACATATAAAATATATAAATTTTATATTATATATTATAGATAGTTTATGAATATATATATATAAATCTATAAGCATATACCAGTAGTAATTACTGTGACCAGAGAAATAAAATAAATAGATTTGCTTTTTTTATACCCCAACATTTGACAAGTATAAGTTTAAAAGGCAACAGCTACTTTTTTTCTAAATCTCTTTCTAAAATGAATAAATAACTATGAATAGACCTCTTTTTAAAAGAAAACTGGTGAGGAGAGTGGGTCAACGAAGAGAGAGGCAAAATAGGAAACTGGACTATGAAGCTGCATTCATCAATGTTAGTTGGTGAAAACAGTTGATCCCTCTCTAGGCTGCAAGAGAAAGAACATATTGTGCAATTATGCCCTGTGCTGAATATATAATTGGCATTCAACCAATTAATAATAACAAGAATGATTCTGTCTGAGATAAGAATAAGACTTCCTATATTAGTCACAGTCTGCCTAGCTTTAGGTTGGCTTAGATAAATGTAGTAAAGACAAGAAAAACATCCCACTCCACAGTTTTGGGCTAATTTAATATCTCTGCTAAGTGCTGAGGTAGTATGGTGACAGACACGGAGAAAAATGCATGGATTGATTGCACTAATAGATAAATAGAGTCCATTTTAGCACAAAGAGAAAACCTTATAATTAGATGTGAATACCTGGTTTCTTGCCATCCATCACATATGCAAGTTTAGGAAAGTATTTTTGTAATGAATTAGAAATGAGCAATATTTCATAATATGATGTATTATACACATCCTGCCATAAGTGCCTCAATCTGTACTGACAATCATAAGATTCAGAAATGGTTCAACTCTCTTCAAAGACCTTTCCACATACTTCTCTGCCAAATTTTTTGAAGAATTTAGCATTTTTAAAACCCTTGTGTCATCCAAATGTCACATTGTTTTGTAAAACTTTCCTAAAACAACTATTAAAATCCTACCTAAGTTTGTAAGAAAATAGAAACCCAATAATGGGTACTTAGCCAATAAATTGAGGATACATACCACATATAAGCATTTAGTGGCTCTATTATAACCAAATAATAATACTAAGAAAATAAGCTAAATACAGCAACTTGTGCATTTTAAATAAAATATTTAGTGAATCAACAAGAATATGTATTTTTATTTATACTCAAACCCAAACCGTAAGCCAAGACCAGACTGAATATAATTATATATTGTAGTCCTGGTTGGGTGGCTCAGTTGATTGGCACATTGTACACCAAAAGGTTGTGCCTCTGATTCCCCTGACAGGGCACATATGCACCTACCTGGGTTGTGGGTTCCATCCTCAGTTAGGGTGTGTATAGGGGGTAACTGATCCATGTTTCTCACATCAATGTTTCTCTCTCTCTCTCTCTCTCTCTTTCTTTCTCCCTCCTCTCTAAAACAAATTTTTAAAAAAATCCTTGGGTGAAGATTTTTTAAAATGTATACACTGTAGTCTGTAACTTTATAAGAAAGAGATGACAGCCGAAACCCGTTTGGCTCAGTGGATAGAGCATCTGCCTGTGGACTGAAGGGTCCCAGGTTTGATTCGGGTCAAGGGCATGCACCTGGGTTGCGGCACATCCCCAGTGGGGGGTGTGCAGGAGGCAGCTGATGGATGTTTCTCTCACATCGATATTTCTAACTCTCTGTCCCTCTCTCTTCCTCTATGTAAAACAATTAATAAAATATATTTTTAAAAAGAGATGAACATAAGGGGAGATGAGGAGAAGAAGGGAGCAATAGAGGGAAAGACCAAAAATGTATCAAGATGTTTGATTAATTCTAACCAGATTTGATTAGCATGAAAACATTGATCAGATACACCAAGCACACCAGAGAGTAGAATGATGAATGTAATAAATAAGGAACAGCCTAGGCGCGGCGCTGGGAGGATGCCTGGCCGCCGGCCGCGTGCTGGACGCCTGCGGCTGCTGCTGGGAGTGCGCCAACCTCGAGGGCCAGCACTGCGACCTGGACCCCGTCGCCCACTTCTACGGGCGCTGCCGCAAGCAGCTCGAGTGCCAGCTGGATGCGAGCGGCGACCTGAGCCGCGCGGAGGTGCCCGAGCCGCTGTGCATGCACCTGCTCTGCGACTCCCAAGGCCGCACCTATGAGCAGCTCTGCCGCCTGCAGGAGGTGGCCCTCGCCCTGCCCGACGCCAGCCTCACGGTGGTGCATCCCAGGCCCTTCGAATCGGAGCCCCAAATTGTGCTGCACCCCTACGACATTTGGAACGTGACAGGGAAGGATGTGCTCTTTGGCTGTGCGGTGTCTGCCTATCCCATGGCCGCCACCGAGTGGAGGAAGGACGGCCTGGACATTCAGCTGCCGGGAGATGACGCCCACATCTCAGTGCAGTTTAGGGGTGGACCCCAGAGGTTTGAGGTTTCAGGCTGTTCGTTCCAGCGACGAGGGCACCTACCGCTGCCTGGCCCGCAATGCTCTGGGCCAGGTGGAGGCCCCAGCCAGCTTGACTGTCCTCACACCTGACCAGCTGAACTCCACAGGCTTCCCCCAGCTGCCAGCCCAGCAACTGGCTCCCGAGGAAGAGGCTGAGAGTGAAGAGGGCGAGGATTACTACTAGGTCCGAAGCCCTGGCCCCTGGGGAAAGGGAAGGGGGATAATGTTCATCCCTGCTCTTGAAAAGATCTGGAAAGGGGGAGCAGGGCCCCTCACGTATTGCTTTAGTGCCTTTACCAGGGCAGACATGAGAGTGGTGGAGAGGAGACAGAAACTGGAGAAGGGTAAGGAGAGAGGCAGAGACCAGGGAATAGGGGTGCTGGGATGGAAGGAGCCCTTGCAGGAGGTACCGGGCCCGCTGGGCCCCAGGCTGGGTGGAGGGTGGCGTGGGGTGGGGGAGAGAGGAGCAGTCACAAAACGGTGTAGACAGCAGGTTCCTCCCTGGCTTTCCAGCAGCCTTTCCTTCAGCCCTGCTCAGCCCGCCTTCCTAACCGCCCTTCTGTTGTTTTCCTAGTCCCTAGTCCTTGCCTTGCCTCAGTTTGCTTTTCTCAAAACTAACGTATGATAGAAATTTCCCTCTCTCCTGAGTCCCATTGCACTCACTGACCGCGGTTCTTTGTTTCACCATCCGCTGTCCTGGAGCACACCAGAGCATGGTTTAGTTTAGTGCAGTAAGACGGGCATCTGGTCATGTCTGATTTCTCCTGTCCTTCTGAAAACTCCCTATCTTATACCACTTTATATTGGACCATGCCTAGCACAGGACTGGGCACAGAAAGCACGCAATAAAGATTTATGAACGAGCTGACACACACACACATAAATAAATAAATAAATAAATAAATAAATAAATAAATAAATAATAAATAAATAAATAAGGAACAGCCTAAAGCTGAAAAAGAAAGCTTAAAATTTTATTATTGTTCTGGAGTAGGAAGTAAATAGCTTTAAAATTGTGAAATAAAAATAATCACCTCTGAGCTCATATAGAATAGAAGGTTGGCTGTCTTTTCTCTATCAGGTTGTAGCCTTGCCCTTTAAAATAAGGGAAAGCAGAGAATAATTTTACCAAAATGGTTGGTGTTTATCACTAAATATTGTCACCCAAAGTTCCAAAGTAAATGAAGCCGAATGTCAATGACTATGATGATGTAAAGTAAGAATCAAATATAGCAGAGCATCTTTAAGAAAATTTACTTAATAAAAATAAGAATGTATATAATATATTTCCTTTTTCAGCTACGATCAGGGCAGTAAGGCAAGACTTTTAAAATTCTTTTTAAAAATATTATCCCTTTTTTTCAATAAATATTCATTTCTCTGAAGAACAGATAAGTGGAATTTGCTTATTTTCAATCAGTTTCACAAGGACTTGGATTAATGTTTAAAAGGAAAGTTTAAAATATTTTATGAAACATTTTTCTTCATTTAAAAAAATAAATACTAAAATTAAAAAAGAAATAATTAATGACTTGGTATATAAAATTATTAATGAATCTGAATTGCCTGAGATCCTTAACTCCTTGCCTCAGGTAAAACTTTGACAATAAAAATGAATAACATACATTTGAACAATTAGAAAATAATGAAAAGCATTCAGGAATGACATTTGACAAAAGCAGATAAGGGAATATTGTACTTGAAAAAATGAACATTTTATAGATCAGTTGCCCCTGATGTGATATATCATAGATTATTAAGAAAATTGTACACCAGTATACTGAATCACTTTCAATTAGTTTGGGGCAAAAGAAAATGGACTATACCTAATTAATAATGACAATGAAAGATGTTGATTCAATGTAAGAAGTTTATAAATTATAAATGAGATAAAAACATAAAACTAAGAAATACATCTACACTTTAATACACATCTAAACCTAGCAAGAAAGCAATTTTAGAAATAAAACTATTAAAAGAAAATATACATTGAACAAGGAGAATAAACAAAAAACATTTAATATAGGATGAACTATAAGAAGATACAAAAGCAGTGTGTCACTGAATTGCAAGAGGATAGTGTCAATGTCTGTAGCCATGATCTTTGGAAAAATATACAGCTGAGTTTGGAATCCCAACTTGTTAGGTACTAGTTACAGTACTTTAGGAAAGATGCTTAATTTTCTGAGCTTTAGTATCCTCCCCTCATAAAGACACCAAAGGTTGATATAATAAGGTATTAAAAAGGCTTAGCTCATTGAAATACTAGCAAAAAGAGATTGATATATGCATTCAATATGAACGTAAGGGGTGTTAGACTAACTCCTACTTTACTCATACATTCTTGGAATTGTCAATTCTTGATACAATAATTTCTTTTTCTGAGTGCCTCAAAAATCATGGCTTTTGAAACATTAGCTTAAACACTGCATGCACATTAAAATGGGGTTTAAAGATAGCCCAATAACCCCTCATAGTTAAGCTAGAGGCCCAGTGCACAAAAATCTGTGCACTCAGGGGAGAGGATCCCTCAGCCCAGCCTTCACCCTCTTGCAGTCCAGGAGCCCTTGGGGGATGTCTGACTGACGGCTTCTCTCTGTGGGAGGCAACCAGTGGGACAATCAGGGGATGGCGCTGGCTGGCGAGAGGCCGGCCCTGCCCCCAATAGCTCCACCGCTGCCACTGGTTGCTGTCACCCTCGATCACCATCCCCTCTCTCTGCCCACTGGCACCCACCTTGGCTGGCCTGGTGCTGCCCACTCACTGGCCCCACCCCGCACCTACCAGTTGTTCTTCCATTTGGTCTATTTACATATTAGGCTTTTATTATATAGGATAGTTACAGCCATTTTAAATATTTAAAATTGTAAAATTTAAATGAGGATAGCTAGAGAAGGTACTTTATATAAAAATTAAAATTAACCTTTTCAAAATATTTTTAATAAAATGTGTCCTATTTATACCTATATTTGAAAAGGTATTTCTTATAATGAAAATTAGATTTATTTTTAATTATTTTTCTACATATTAAAAAAAAAAACACCTCTCAATTAAGTGGCTAGCACAGTCTTTCTTAATTCTTTCTATATAGGAAAATTGGCAGTTAAAGATTGCTTTTCTTCCTTTGCAATATATACCATCTAGTTTCAACATTTTATTTGGTAATTTTTTTAGGTTACAATTTTTAGAAATAATATCTAAAAATACTTTTGTGAAAAATTTACAGGGAGTGGAAAAAAGCATGATTACATTATTTGTGTTTTGTTTATAATAACATATTGCATTAATCAAGGCTTTGTTCAAATAAATTGAAACTGGTTCAATTTCCTCTTGTCAAGGAGAAGAATATAAATGTGGCACAATTGTATAATTGATTTTGTGATTCAAAAGGGGCTCTTTGGTGGAGATAATTTATCAAGGTTGACAAAAGTGGTAAATGAGTATTTCCTTTGAATTTGGAGAATTTTTTTATTGAAATGTTGAATTTATAAATGTACAATGTTATAATGATTAAAGACTTTTCACAAAAAATGCGCTCTATAAATCTTTTTTACAATTTTTAATTCAGTTTTAATCTTCAACACTATCTACTTTGGTTTCTTTCATTAAAAATAATAACTATGAAGGAAGCACATTGATATGGATATATTAAATAGAGAGAACATTATTAATAAATTAACTAATCTTCACTATTAATCTTCCAAAATCTATACCCAGTGTCCATTTTGGTTGTAACTTATACATTTGTTACCAGAAGAATACATGATGTAAGGAAATTGAAATAATAGCATTCCAGAGTTTTATTTATGGGTTAAATGCCTTCTTAGAATAATATATTAATCAAAATCATGCAGATAATTTCTTTTGGTTTATCACTCTCCTTTCGTTTGTAGTTATGTATAGTTTCACTGTGTCCATAATAATAATATTGGGAAAATAACAACCTTGAAGGCATCAGATGAAGTCTCTGGTGATGTCACATTCACTCTGACATTTATACTGACTTCATTTATGACAGACTGAAGGTGATGAACAGGTCCAAGCAAGAGGTCACCTTGTGTCAAGACTGGTATACAATCTGTCAAATGCAGTGACTGTGAGTCTGCTAATGAGGAATTAACTGGACAGAATGTTGCTATTTTCTGTTTTCATGCACTCCAAACCTGCTAAACAATGCTAATCAGGTGTTTATTAAGTGAAACCATTATGCCAAACTTGCTGCTAACCTCACCATATGTCAGAGAGGTTGTAATATATTATACATCCATTTTAAAGCCAGATTAATAAGAGTCATTCACTGAATTTTTCTTTTCTTAGCCTTTGGCTATGCCTTGGAATCAAGGTTATACTTTTATTTTAATATTTCTTGAAATGGGCACACTTAATTACACAAAACTATTTTAAGTTAGTGCCTCTTGGTGAAAAGCTCTTTTCATTTATTTTATATACAAAATCAACTATTAATAAGGTGAGTAAAAATGAAAATTCAATGTGAGCAAATCTAATAAAATCAATAATGTTTTTTGATAACAGAATACAATAACATAGAAACATAATTTTATACAATCACACATTTTAGGCTAGAATCAGGCACTTTTGTTATTAGCGGTTTTCAGTTTACAAATTAATCAGGGACAAACAGGCAGTTGAAAATAGTTCCTGAACTGGACACAACTGTACTTGAGGAATTGGAGGACTTCTTTTAATATATTTTATGAGCTAACATATCCTCTGCATAAAAGAGCATCATTTATGAGCTGCCCTGTAAATGATACAAAACATTTAACAATATAACATACAAAACATTTAACAATATAACATTTCCCACACTAACTTGTTAGTATCTTCTTTTTTCATAAGGCCTCAGTCAATATTTATTTTTTTTTCATTTGAATCTTATAGATGCTACAACAGTTATTTATGTACTCTTTGTATTTTAACATTATATTTTCATTTTGTGGGAAAGAGCATTGCTTTTAACTTGTAAAATATCAGTTTATGTCTAGGAGCAATTACAAGCCAAATGATTTTGAACAATTATCAATTTAAAAATGTGAAGCAAAATATTTTCCCTCCATGATTTTTGAGTGAACCAAGTTAGAGTGATAAGTAATACAAATTTTAATTTTAAAAGATTTTACAATTGAATGTAAAAGTTCATATTTATATCTAACAAATATTTAAAACATGTGGGCATATTTTGTAATCTCTTTGTGTCAGCAGAGTTACTGACATCATTATCATACTTCTCCTTTGGCATCCTCATCATATCATACGTTCCCTGTGTTTAGATATTTCTATTCACAGAGCACAAATTGCAGAAACTACTTCTTTAACATCTTTTAAATGTTGTCTTTCTATTAAAGATCAGCTAAAATAATAGTGAGTTATTTATAGAAGGCAGTAAAAAAAGCATTTTATTGGTTGCCTGCACATGTAGGAGATGTAGTGTCTACTTTAGCAGCCTGAGCTTCATTTTTTCAGGCTGTTGAAATTTCTTGAAGAAGAAAATTCACAGTTTTTTTTGGAAATTTGCAAAGATTCTTTCATATTCAAAATAGGAATTAAATGCACTTTCTGTGGATCCCCATAATGCTCTACTTCTTTAATCAGTATTTTCAATATTGTATAAAATACAAATTGTATATATATGCAAGGTTTGGGATACATTTTATTTTAGGGGATTTGCATCTAAAATAAAGAAATGGAAATGAATTACATAAACATAATTTCACAGATTTCATAAAATATATAATTATGTGAACATAGAATCTGTAGCAGTCTTAAGGGCCCAGGTATTTTAAAGTTATGTATGATTAAGCTTCATAAATATAATACAAATATGTATTAATATATAAAGCTTTCTTC